TAATCCATTGTTTTCTTTCATTAATTTTTTTTTTTCGATTATTGGTGTTATTTTTTAATTAATTTTAGTCACAGTTTTTTTTTCTAACATCAATGACATTTTTTACTGTGTTTTTTAATAAAGTTTATTCTAATTTAAATATCAAGTGGGTCAGTGGCGGATCTTTTTGGAGCGGAGGGTCGTGGCTCCCCCAAAGTTTTGTAACTTTCATGTAATTTATGATTTTGGTCCCCCAGACTTATTGAATATTTAATATATTTACTTGTATATTTACAATTTTATTCTCTCAGTCCCTCCTTTTGTTCCCCTCAAACTTGATGATCATTTAATATAAGTATATATCTATAATTTTATCCTTTAACCCTTTTATCTTCTTCTTTTCTTTTATATTTTTTATTATTTATTAATAATATATTATTTAGCTCTCAAAATAAATGGTCAAGATCCGCCATTGAACTAGGTTGCTCTCAACCAACATGGTTTAGATTTGTTGTTTCAATGTTTAAGGTTATTTTTTTACCAACTCTATTCAGTGATTTATGAATTATTATTTTTCATCGATGTAAGTTATAATTTTATTTTTTTTAATTTATCATTGTTGATATGAAGTTTTTTTTTTCAAGTTTAGGATTATTTTGGTGCTAATGTAAATGTTAATCAAGGTTTTCATGGTTAATATAGCTAGAAATATTTTCTATTGATGTTAGAATTTTTCTCTCGTTAATTTTGGTTATTTTCGTATTATTGTTTACAATAATTTTTTTTATCAACGTCAATAATATTACTTTTTTTATCCAAAAATAGGTAGGATATTTTTCTAATATCAAATAAGAATATATTTTCGTCAATCTTTACCTAGGGTTAATTTGGTCAACATCAGTTGAGAAAATTTTCAATTAACATTGATACAAATGTTAAAAAAAATCAAATAATAATGTTAAAAAATATTAGTTGAAATAATTACGAGTGACATTGATTAAATCAACTAGAGATCGTGTGGACTTTTGATCGAAAAATAACGTCAATATAGTAACATTTCAATTCATATTGTTAAGTATTAAATATTGTTAATATTAAAATAAATTTTATATTTGATGGTAATTAAAATATTTTATTTAAATAAAAAAAAAGATAAATTTGAATTATTTATCTAAATTAAATTTAAAAAATGAAATAATTTTAAATAAAATAATTAAAATTGAATGTATTAAAAATTATAATGTCCTATCCAACTTTCAACTCTTTTTTCCCGAACTCGTAAAAAGCTTCTCTTATTTTCTTCACCATCCAACAAAAGTACAAAATTATTTTGAGTTTTGTGTGCTTCAAGGTTTCACCTTTTCTTTTCCAAAATTCGTCTTTCACTCGCCCTAAGCTTTAGAACCTAAGATAATAAAAGGGAGTGAGATTTAAACTTCTTCACATTAATTTTAATATACCACTAATTCTCTACTTCATGTTTTTTTATGCCTATTGTCATTATTCCACTGATATCTCATTATGTTGGCATTTTACCTATGTGGTTTTTTATTTTTCATTAAATTTCTTCCTTTCATTTTTGAACATTTTTTGGGTAGAGTGGAATGCGAAGGAAGAGACCCAATAGTGAATAGCATAATTTACTGTGTTCGTTGGTGTCTCTTTTTCAGGAAAATGGACGCGAAATGTGGTTTCCGTCCCACTGACATGATAGTGACATGAGTACGGTCACAGATCATAAAACAAAACCCTAAAAATTTAATTACGTTTAATCACTGCAATTATAATTTTTTAACCAAAACCCTGATATAATAAATAGAATCTATTTTTATACTTTGGGGTTTTCAATAATTGATCGCTGTTATGTTTCGTTTTTCATTGAAAAAAAAAAAAAAAGGAATCCAGAATGATTTATGCAGAAGCTTATTTGCTATAAGTTTCAGCTTTTGTCCAAAGTATTCTAAGCATAAAATCAAATACACCATATGAGTGATCCCTCATCCAGCAGGTATGGTCCAAGAAAGCCACTCCAAATGTTCATTCCTTTTAAGAAAATCAAGCCAACTCTTGGTGTTCTCCTGTACTTCTAAGAAAGACAAAAGCATGAAACAAATATCATAAAAAAATAAAAAACATTGTCTTGATCAAGTTTTTTATCTCCAACACCTGTTTGTTTTAATATGAAATTTTAAATGTACACCAAGAAAATCGTAAACTGGATAAATGTTTTTTATTTCTTTAATTATTGGTTCAAATTGACTTATACATCTTAACTTTTTGAAAAAAAAAAAAGTTTCTATGAAAAAATAATAAGGGCATAAGAATTTATCTTGTGAATCATGATAAACGAAGGAAATGAGTTTTTTTTTCTATGAATCATGAAATTAATTTATATATAAACTATATTTTTCTTAAAACAAAATCATTGGCTTTCTTTAAAAAAGTTTATGCAAACACATCTTAAATTAATTTCAACTCGCATGAGAAACTCAGATCATTTTACATTTTGAATTTCTGGTTCTATATATACGTCTTAATAAATAAATTTATCCAAACGAGGCTTAATTAACTACTAATAATGTTTAAAAGTTAATAAAAGAATTCTTAATTGAGTTTGGCTATATATATATATTACGAAATATCTTTTGATGGTTAAAAATGAAAGGGAGGAATTGTGCGAATGATATTATTAAGAAGCTTTGTTTTTGATTGCATGATGATGAGGATCTGGCATGGGATTGTCGTGGGGGAAAAGATTCCTCTGACAAGAAAAAGAAAAGAAAAGAAAAAACCTTAAATTGAAGATCTGGTGTTGAAGATGAGAAGTGTTTGATAAATTGTAGGTTGGGAAAACTTACACCTGAAGCTCCTCGAGATCTGACCAAATCTTGTTTGAGTTCTTCAGAGGAATTATTTTGAACATGTTTCGAGGGTCAGCTTCTCTGAACTTGGCCCTCCTTTGTCTACTGCACCAATAATGCTCATTGCTATCCATAATTGCTTTCCATTCTTTTCTCTTCTTACTCCCATCCCTACTTCCTCTTCTCTTCATTCCAATCATCTTCTATATATGTAAATTTATATGCCATCTAACTATTTCTTTAAGGTTACTTAATCAAATCCAATCCAAAAATTTCTTCCACCTCAAGTTTTTCTACAATGCCATGTGCTTTGGTTTGAGAGTCAACAATATTTTTATTGCTATACTTGCCAAAATGTACAGAAACATTTTCATAATAATTTGTATAATCAATTTTTTATACTCTTAATTTTAATTTTAGTAACTGTTAAATATAAAATTTGTAATTTATACATGAAACTTCACCAATTACTTGTAAACTCCTCTCCCACTCCATGATCAATGCAATTTTATTGTTTAATCCAATTTGAGTTAACAGATCTACTTAGTCAATTTATGCAACATCAATTTGAGAGAGAGAATATAAGGGATAAACTTTTAACCACACTAACATTCACTAAGCTCATATTTCCTTTTTCAAGCCATGAACAAATGAAAACATGTATGCCAGAAATACCAGACTTCAATCAACAAACCCTACAAGCACCATAAAGTCCATAATCCTCAGCCCCCCTCTAGAAACATGTTTCCTTCATTTGTGCCGGAATAGGATTGTTGTCACCTAATTCAGAACCACCATCTTCTCCAACCTCATCATTGTATAGTGGTGAAGCTTCTGGATGGACACGAAACCGCAAAATGTGAGAGCTAAAAAATAATAAAAAAAGGTAAAATGGGAAGAACGATACGCCTAAACCAAAAAATATATATCGTTAAACATTAACTCAATGAACCATGTCTCATCTCTTCAAAATAAAAATCAGGCCCAATAAAAAACGTTGAAATGTAAACGTAGTGAAAAGACAAAACTATTTATTATTTGAAAGCATAAAGTATAAAGTTAGAATAGTTTACTAGTTTTTCTGGAAAGATGATGAGGTATGTTTATGATGATTTGACACGGAAACCGTAGTATGAAATAAAGAGAGAAGAGAAGTGAGGTTAAGGTTAACGTAATCCATTAGAATGAGAAAAGGAATAAAGAGATAATAATAATAAAAATGAGGAGAGTGAGGAAAGAGTGATGTCATGTCCTGTCGGAGAAGGAGGGCACGTAGGCAGCTCCCATAAATGCAGACAGATTAATTGGTCCGATGTGAAGTCCGTGTCCTAAGTTTTATTTTCATGGTTCCAATTCTGCTCCCAAATTCTTCAACCACATTCACTTCTCCTTCTACTTCCACTCCCACTCCACCAACCATATTCCCTTCCCTCCACCCTCCACACTCCACTAATCACTATCCCTTTTCCCACCCTTATACCCTCCCAAATATACTACCCATAGTAATTAATACCTTTTCTCTCTAAAATCTACATTTAGTTTACCATTATACTTTACACTCATCTATGTTGTTAATAATGTAACTCTGCCTTGCATTTTGCAATATCTTTATTAAAAAAGACACAAGGTGGGAAAAAGGGTACAGAAATGGGTTATGGTCAGTTAAAGTAAAAAGTAAATGTCTGAACAAGAATGGTACAGGTGTTAATTATGTAATGGCAAGTATTTGAAAGCCTTTTCTGAGTGAAACAGCTCTTTTCTTCAGACCGGTTATTCATGACCACATCTCTTCCCATCTCTTATCTTCAAACAACAATAATAACATTATTTTATTAAATAATTATTACTATTATTATAGATTAAATTATATTCATTCCTTTAAATCCAATATAAATATATACACAAACACAATCTTACTTAGCTTACTTCTGATTATTATCTTTCTATCTACCTATATTCTATCTTGGTGAAACTCAAACTCCCTTGCCTCAAACAACTCACATGTAGAGGGGTGGAATAGATCTTCAACTTTCCTCCTCACTTACTTCAACTTCCTCTCCATTCTACAAACCCTAAGACACACAACTCAATCTTGGTTAACAAAAAAAATATTTTGGGTTTGCTTTTCTTCTCTTTTTTGGGAGAGAAGTGGGCAGCGATATGGAATTCGACGACCAAGAGGACCAGGAGGAGGAAATGGGGTTGCCGGAGTCGGCCGTGGCGGCGGCGGCGCCAAGTTACGACTTAGGGAACTCAGCGGCGCGGTCTAAAATCGGAGGCGAAGGGCAGAAGGGTGCGTTTGGTGCTTCGGTGGTACGGTACCGAGAATGCCAGAAGAACCACGCTGTGAGCTTCGGCGGCCACGCCGTCGACGGCTGCTGCGAGTTCATGCCGGCCGGCGAGGATGGCACTCTGGAGGCTGTGATTTGCGCCGCCTGCAACTGCCACCGGAATTTCCACCGCAAGGAGATCGACGGCGAGATGACCTCCCTCCACCACCGCGCTCAGCCGCCACCGCCGCTGCACCACCAATTCTCCCCGTACTACGCCCACCGCGTCCCACAGCACCCTTCCGCCGCCGGCTACTTCCACCCCCACATCGCTACTCCTCCGATGGTGCAGCACCGCCCGCTCCCCCTCCCCGCGGCCGCATCCGGCGGCGGTATCAGCCGCGAAGACGAAGACATATCGAATCCGAGCAGCAGCGGTGGAGGAGGTGGCGGCGGCGGCGGCGGGGGATCCAAAAAACGGTTCAGAACGAAGTTCACGCAGGAACAAAAGGATAAGATGCTTGCATTCGCTGAACAGCTAGGGTGGAGAATCCAGAAGCACGATGAATCTGCTGTGGAGCAGTTCTGTGCTGAGACCAATGTGAAGCGAAACGTTCTCAAAGTTTGGATGCACAATAACAAGAACACTCTCGGTAAGAAACCCTAATTTCCGAATTATTGTTATAATATAATATAATATTCTTTCTCTCAATCTTTCAGTTCGCTTTCAGAGAGAAAATTGTAATTTGAAATTTAATTAATGGAGATCAAGCTAGGGTTCTTCCTTTGGTTAATTACAATTTCAGTTTATTCTAGTGTTGTTGTGAAGGTAAGGAGTGGTTAAAGTGCATGATTAAGTTAACATGTACTATTATTGTACATTAATTGCGAATTAATTCTGGGTGATTAGTTCTTCTGTAAAGAGATGGAGACCAAATAAAGACAAGGCAGCGAAGTTTATGGGGGTTAAAATGATATTGTTTCTGCATTGTGTAATCGTATGTGATGGGTGCTTAAGATTAGCACAAGCAATTATTCAGGTTTAATAAGATAAACTCAACGTGTAAGACATGTAAATGAAAAGGTTATTATTGATTAAGCATGTTTTATTGGTTAATTCATGGTTTGTCATATTTTTCTGCATTTGATCACATTCACTGCTGAAGCTTTTAGTTTCTTGTTTGTATTAACACCTCAAAGTCCCCACCAACCATTTTTGTTCCCGTTTTGGACACATTTATTCAACCTACGCAGCAGGGTGAGAAATTCATAAATATTCAAAGAGATGGATGATCTGAAGGCAGTGAGGGAGTGACAGTGATTTGTTAGTGAAGTTAGTTGTTGATGAGGAAGATGGATGATGTACCTAGTCTGGCATTATTAATTGGTCGGAGAGTTTGAGTTATAGTTTGTTGTTCTCTTGTTGTATGTTGGGTTGGTGTTGTTTGAGATTTTTGTGTGGGGAAGATAAAAGGGAAAAGGAAAAGGAAAAGGGTGGTAAATGAAATGGTGAGGGTTCAATGATTCAATCCCATTCTCGTATATGTTTGGTTAGTGCGGTGTGAAAAGCGAGAAAGTGATGAAAGAACAAAATAAACTATAGAATAGGAGTGGGTGGGTATTCACGCGGCAAAATCGTACCGTGTTAGCCTGTCGGGTCATGCACAGATTACAGACTTGCAGAACAGAAGTGCAGAACCTCCACCCCACCCCACCCCTTTTCACATTTTCATTCATCACCTTAAATCCCTAACACACCCTTCATTACATTCCATCTAAACATTTTTTTCTTTTTTTCTTTTCATTATTTCAGTATCATTAGTTTATCCTTTTTAATTTTCTTTTTATTACATTCTTTTATTCTCACTATTTTAAAAATCAGATTAAAAAAAAAACTAAAAAATTAGTTAAAGTTTTGAGCTCATTCTGTTTTGAAATTTTTTTTATTTTTTTTATCCCTTATTAATTACGTTAATTTAAAATGATAGTTATTATGTTATATTTTTACTTTATTTTAATAATTATTTATTTTATATTTTTTAATATATTTTATATTGTAATATTTTTAAAATTTATAGTAATTATGATAATAATTTAAAAAATTAATAAATTTATTATATTATAAAAATATTATTTTATTAAATTTGATTAAGTTAAATCTCAATTAATATATGACTTTACCCCGTTAATATCTCAAGTCATCTTCACTTTTATTATTGTAATGTTCCATTCATCACTTTTCTTTTCAACCTAATAATACTGAGAATTACTTTCTCGAGATTACTTAAACAAACATTACAAATAAGAAGTTAAAGTTAAAAAACTGAACTATATTTACGATTTTATTATTCTCGTATATTTTTTCATTACATCAGTTTTATTTGTCTCTAATATTATATAAATTCATTATTTAAAGTTGTAAAATAATTTTAAACACACTGCCATTTTCAACCCTTTTATTCTGCTTTGTTCACAGTTGCAAATGGATTATTTTTATTCTTTACTCTCTCTATGTATATAACTTGAATAAAAATTTGGTGACCAATAATTAGAGCTTTAAGTTTAGTTTCAAAAGTTAGGGGGCTAAAGATTGAACCTATTTAACCCATAAAAAAATCAATTAAAAGTAATTAAAATCGAAGTTTTTTTTTTTTAGAGTTTAGATTAAAAATTAAAAACCGAATCAAACTATCATATATTATATTCAAATATAATATTATATATTTAGAATGAATTATCAATTAACAAATATATGTAATCTCTTGATGGTTTATTTAAAATTTGTTTGAATTTTATTTATAATATATCTATGTTTATCTTATGATATATTCATATTTGTTAAATTATGATAATAATTTTGATTTTAATTTTTAATTATAAAAATTTAAATTTTATTTATACATATAGAATATATTAAAATTACTATTATAATTATTATCATATTTTTTAGTTTTTATTATTTGAGTGTTAGCAAATTTTGTTAAGAAAATGTTTTAAATTTTCATAAAAAAAATAACAATTTAAAAATGATATAAACCAGAATCGATTCAAACCGAATTAAACAGAATTTAATTTTTACGTTTTATTCGAGACTGAAATTATCAAACAATTGTAACCTCGGTAAAATGTTCTCTCATTTTAGTCATTCTAGAAATAAAAAATCATTACTGTTAATATCTACTATGGTGTGATATTTGTTAATCTCTAACATTATTGTGATATTAACTAATTGTTTATTTGTTGAAAAAAAAAGTCAAAACCTGAAAATAAAAATTCTTATTATTAATAAAATAAAAGTTTTTATCTATCTTAAAATAATTACGGATAAAAATTATTATTCAAAATAATAAAAAAGTAAAAAAAATATTAAATTTATAATTAACATATTTTATAAGGATGAAAATTAGATATTTCAATTTTTTTAAGAATAAAAAAGTATAACCACAAAAGTTAATATTTGTTAATGTTAGATTGATTAAAAATATATTTAAGTGTTTTGTATAATATTGTTTACAATTTTATTTATTTATTTATTATCATTAGAATTTAAAAAATATTAGAATTATCATCAGATTTAGTTTTGGAAGACAATTTTTAATTGCTCTAATTTTTAAGTATATTTTTAATTGTTATTTTTACTTGACAAATACACAACTAAACAAAATCAAACAAATTATACTAGAGTATTTTACTATTTACTCCTTATGTATTGACTTATAATAAAATCTTAGAAAAAATAATCGATTTCTTATGATAAATATGCATAAATTGGACCAAATAAGTTAAAATTGGTTTAGTTTGATTGGATCAGATACCTAATTTCGAAATCTTATTTGTTTGATTGGTATCATTTTTCCCTTCAAAATTGTTCTGATCAAACAAACTGTTGATGTTTATTACTATTCCACTGTTTGAGGGTGATGACGCACGGAGTTGCTTTTATGAACTCTTAGCTCTTAAATAGCTATAGTTACATCAAAATTATGCAGATTACAGAATAAAAAATAACACAACCTTCGTCTTTGATTTAAATAAATTACAAAGCATATAATACAGAGAGGTTTTATAACAGTTTCCTGATATTTGAAAAAAATAAAAAATAAATATTAAGTTTGAAAGAGCAAAATCCTCCTTCGTGTCCAGCCTCATCATGAACATGGGTGTTTGATTTCTATTTGTTGGTAGCGGTCCCCTTAGTTATGGATATGTCCTAACCATTAATTACTTGCGATATCTCCTTACAAATACTCTAAAACAAGGTCAATGCAATGGAGATTAATTCATACCTATTGCTTTATTGACCTACATACAACGTGCAGGACTTTGATTGCATTCATTACGTACTGTTCTTTTTCTGAATTTAATTCATCTACTCCTAATAACTTCAGGTTAATTAATATCTTTTAAACTAAATCTAGGATCGGATTATGCAGTAGTCTCATTATTGAACTAAGACTTGATTACGTTTCAGGTTAAAAGCAGAAGTAATGTCATCATAATAAAAACAACCTTAATTACTCGAAATGCATAAAGATCTTCCCTATCGACATTATTTTTTTTTTTTATCAAACAATATACTTCATGCTTTCACCTATTCACAAGATAGAGTTCACAACATTTGCTCATAATTATACTGCAACAACAGACGCTGTAACTTGGGAGCTTTTAGGTTTAGACACGGAGATGGACTCCATGATTTGAGGAGATATGTGTTATTTACACATATTTTGTATCAGTTAAATTTTGTTGTTGGGTTTTGGAGCTAAGAATTGATGGGTGTCATGAAAGTTGAAAGCATGTCGCGAAATGGCTTGCAGATTTATCAGTAGAAGGAGGTGGTCACAGATTCCCTTTCCCTTTCTCTGTTTCCGTTTGATCATTTTTGGGTTGAATGGATTGATGAAGAAAATTACTAGTAGAGTAGTACCACCACTATTCCATGGAGTTGTAGTAGTAATAGTAGTACCCTGCTACACGACACGGTCAAATCAAAAAGTGAGGTTAGGTTGCGACTTGCAACATCGTCCACACGTTAACATGCATCTTCATGTATTAGTTAAGACATGACGTTGAACCTTCTGCTGCATTTATGTTTCCAACTATTCATTCTCAGGGAATTACCATTCAACGTTCTTGGAACTTGTTTTCATGTAAAAGGACTGTTCTATTTTCTATTTACCATTTTTTTCAAATTATATCCCTGTTCAGATAATTTTTTTTAAGTTTTTCAGAAACCCAAATTCCATCTAATTCGTAATAATAACTAAATCATATTTTTATAATATTTAATCTGAAATAACAATTTTATAATGTATTTAATTTTTTATCATATAATCTGCTTAGTTTCAAAGTAATGGAATATATATTATACAATTTTACACAGAGATATTACAAGAAAAGAAAGATAGACGTGAGATAAGATTATATATTATACGAAAACAAATATTTTCAAGTTCTTAACATTGATAAATGTGTTCAAATTTGAGATTTTCATGTAACATCATGTATCAACCATGTGGATATATCACATGGCATTTTCAAGTGATGTCACGTGACATTCATTACATGTAGTTGTCATGTGACGTGTAGATGTGGATTTCTGTTTAGACAATCAAGACCTAACAAATTAAGTTTAATTTTGAAATACAATAATATAACAAAAATTAAAAATTAAAATTCAACAAAAAAAATTAAGAAAAAAATCTAAAATAAAAAATAGGATAAGAACTAAATATAATTTAATTCTATATTTTATTAAAGTATGATCTCTAGAGTTGACTAATTCCGTACATGCATAATAAATCAATCATATTATCCATAGCTTTCTATGTTTTTTTTTTTTTACTTTAGATGTTTTATTTGCACTTGTCGATTCAATTTAGAGCCTTAAATTTATTCTATTTTTTATATTATTTAATAAGAAAAAGAAAAAAATATATAGTTTTCTATTATAGATTTTTTTTTCTGTAATTATATATTTTCAAGTCACTTTTGCGTATTAACCTAACTTTGTTACATTGAATGAAAAGCATTGTTGTTGTCTCTGTATCACTTTATCATAAATTATATCAACAAAACTTTATGATTCATACTTCCTTCCATGTTCTCTCCTTAATTGTTTCCCTCGTTGCATATGTTAATTATTAACTTCACATCAAACAGCCATATAAAAGCAAAACCAAATCTTCCATATGCAAATTCCCTTGCAAAACCATATTTATCCAACCAAGAATTCTTTTACGTACGGGAGGGAGTGACACGAATAAGTATTGACCTGTAAAATTTATGATGAATGATCAAAATTAAAATACAGAATATAAGATATACCTTGTAGATTTTTCTTTTCAAAAAAAGAGAAAAAAACGAGAGTATATATATAATCATACAATTGTATATTCATGAAGTGCGGAAAGTAATTTTAATTAATTGTTTTTATTTCTCTAATTTTCAACATTATTAATTAAAATATATATTTTTTAATGTGTTGTAATTTTTCACAGCAGGTTTCTTTTTAACTTTTTATTTTACTTTAGACTTAAATATGTTTTTTTTTTTAATTAGATTTTTTTTTGTTTGAAATCTTAAAAATATATTTGTTTATGTAATTTTTAAATGTAAAGGTCAAAATAGACTTATTTTGAATATAAGTTCAAAAAATCTGAAAAATAGATGGATAAAAAAAAATTTAATTAAATCAAATCTATTAGAATTGTGGTAGACATGTTTTATAGAATGATAATTCTTTTTTAAATGAAAAAAATAATATTATTTTATTAATATATATATATATATATATTATAAATTAATTTAACAAATAATTTATTTGTTCTAAAAATCAAAATCAAAATAAATATTTAATTATTATTTATTGTAAAATTAAATAATTAAGATTAATTATTATTTTAAATTAATAAATTAATAATAATAATAATAAATAAAAATTAATTATTATTTAATATTAAATTGATAATTTTATTATAATTTATATATTAAATTATTATACCTTAAAAAACTAATTTTATTAATAAAATGTAAATTTTTAAAATATATTTTTATTTTTTAATTAATTATATATATATAAATATATTAATATTTTTTTTAAATTCAATCAGACTCAAATCCCTTGACTTGACCTAACATATATTTTAAAATATAATTGTGGGCATCAATTATTTTTACGGTATCGGATATTTTTCTATGAAGCCCTGAAACTGTAATGGAATGTGATTTTTATATATGAAAATATGTTGTGTCCACTCTATTACGTACTATGGGACACTTATCTTTTGCCTAGCATTTCAACATGATTCATCTATTAATTCTCACCGTACAAGTCACATGATAAGAATTTAGTAGAACAAAAGGACTGCATTTGTTTAAAATGATATGGATATGATATATCTACTATCTTTGCTTATAATTAATTTTCTTTGAGAATCTTAATCATCTGTTGATGACATCTATTTTTACAAAAATATTCTTTATCCATTAAACTTAAAACTTGGATCTCAATCTTTTCTCAGGGGATAAAAAAAGAAAAAAAAAAACTACTTTCACCGAAATCAAATGTGGTACTGATTTTGCATAATTTAATTGATGCTATATTTGGTGTGAAGCTCCTTTAATTTTGGTTGTTGTTATGGAGACAGGGTTGCTGGGTTGATGAGTAACGAGCTCAGAGATGGGCCAATCTGGGCCCTACCCAAAACAAAATGTTAATCATCAATGTTGTACACTACATGGGCCTGAGAAGGTTTGATCCTATCATAATCTGATCAACCGTTAGGCCCACTATGCAAGGGTCATTAAATAAATCTCCTCACGGGCCAGCCTTCGCTGAACCTTTTCTGTGTAGAGAGAACAAAAAACTTTTCCCTCCCTCATTGTCTCCTTCAAGGATACACCTAATCCTCTTACCATATTACTCCATTCTAAATTCTGATTACAATTTTTGTTACGTGTTTGATATTACTAGTTTGTCACATCCTTGTTCTTATATGTGTATGCTTCAATTTAACCAAAGATGAAACGAGATAAAAGAACCCTAGAAACTAAAGAAAAGAAAAATTAAATAAAAACGTGTTGCACAAATATTGTTGGTTCATTTGGTCATTTCCTTTTAAAGAGAATCATGAGAAACACAGCACAGTTTGCTTCTAAAAGAAAGGAATATATTACATCATTATTATATGGCCACCTAACAAACAACATAACACAACACAACACACACACATAGCTATCACACCATCTATTTAATTAAATTGCAACTTCACAAACAAACCACACAGCAATTAAACTATTTCACAAACCCAGGAAAAGGTACTGAATTACATAATTGTAATCACCACGTCAAACCAAAAGAATTTATATTCTCTATTTTCTGCATACAGTTTCTCTAATCATGTTGTTATTGTGCAATATTTATCGATTATATTAATAATTTTATACAAAGAACTTAATTCGTCGCTTTTAATAAATTCTTGTTTTTATTTATATTTGTTAATACCCGAAACTCGAATTTATTACCTTAATCACTATGCCATCAATTTTTTTCTGAATCAATATTATGTTTATATATATAAAAAGTGTACACGAGTTGAAACTGACCTAAATTCTTGAAATATAGGATTAACGTATGACAAAAACATTGGATATTCAAGCAATCAATATAAATTGTAGGGTTCAAATCAAAATTCCCAAGACTGCTCCAAATTTGAAAGCCCATTAGATTGCCCATCGCGCGTTGGGCCCTGATGGACTGTAAATGGAGAGCCCTCTTTCTTTTAACATGAAATGTACTTGGTTCCTTCCTTCTTCCTACATCCAGTAATTTTTTCCTGCACCCCCATAACATATGTAAAATGACCGAAATATCCTTTTACTAATTTTTGTTTCAAACCGTACAAGTTTCTCCTCTTCAATTGTTCCTCTTCCTTTTAAAATTGTTTCAAACTATAAAGTAATAAATTTTTAATGTTTTATACTTATTACGTGAAAATTAGATAGAGAATAAATATATGGTTCTACACTCCTCAATCAAAAATACATTTTTAAATTTAAAAATAAAATTTTAAAAGAGTCAATCTAAAAATACATTTTAGATTAAATATTCCAAAATATATTTTTAAATATATTTTAGAACATCCAATTCAAAATATATTCTCAGTCAATCCTAAATTAATTTTCAAAACAACAAATTCCAAAATGAACTCAGAAATTTAAACATGTCTAGTGAAGGATAAAATAAAATTTATTTTAATAATGGGGTGTAGGAAAAGCTATAACGAGGAAGAAACAACCCATATATTTGTACGAGTAGATATAAATTAATATTTTCTGATTGTTTGGATGGGCTTAAAAAAGCCCAAATATGTCCTAAAAGATTATATTGGATGGGGTTAATATATTAGAATTGTAATATTTATATTTTATTATTATTTAGTTTATATTTGAATTGCGATGTGGTTTAAAAATAAAATAGTTGCTTTGATGCTTTGAATTTGATCTAGCCATCTATTATAAGACATCATTTTCTGTGTTTTTGTGCTTTCGCATTCCTTACTAAACTTTCCCGAATCTTTCTCGTATTGTAATAAATCAGAGTTCAATTATTAAATGTTTAAAACATTTATGTATATGAGATTTCGTAGTTATCTATAAATATGAGATAGGTATAGTTACAGTAGTAGTAGTCACTTTCTTTGGAGTGTGTAATGAGTGTTCTTAATTTAATTGCATCTTCTGTTCATACGCACATGCCTCCTGCTTCTTCTTGTCTTCTCATCACTCTCTCTCTCTCTCTCTTTGCATCAAATATTCCTCATTTTAATACTCTCCAGAACGCCAATAATCAAATATTCCTATTTTTTTACACATATAACTTTTTTTAACCCAGAGTCTGAATTTATCAGAATAGTAAGATTTTGCCACGCGTTTGTATATTTTCACGTAGATGCTATTTGGATTCAATAATTTGAAAATAACATCAAATTTGAATCAATCTTGTATCATATATTTTCACATAGATATTATTAGTAATGACGTTATTTTTTGACCTTTTTTTTTTTTTGTTTACAAATATTATAGGTAGATGTTTGTTAACATTCATGAAGAAGAATATACCTATTGAACATAAAGACAAGTACATAAGGTTTTGTTATTATTAGTTTTTTTATTATTTTGTACTTGCCATTACAGATATTTTCACTATGAATAATAATTACATGTAAATAAAAGTTAACAGGGACGATTACTTTGTCGTCGTTGGTCCTCATAAAATAGAGGAAAAAAAAAGTAACAATAAAAATAAACTGATGGAAGTAAAATAAACAATGTAGTTTGATAAAATGTTATTTTAAAGAATTTCTTATATATCTTCACGAAAAACTTTTTTTTTATTTAACAAATTCAATCCCCTTATAGTTCCTTTAATGTATTTGGAACTGAGTTTGTATTTTGTAATAAAAAAATTGAATTCAAACTTTATGAATGAAAAAAAGGTGATTGATAGAAGAAACTCATTAAAAATGATAAATTATGTTTTTATAAAGATTAATAATTATTAAATGTGGTGATTGGTGATAATCCACACCAATATGTGAAAACAACATGCATGATGTGAATGAAGAAGCGAGGTGAGGAGGCAACCCAAGAGGAGCATCTAGCTTGTGTAAGTCAAATAGTGAGTGATGAGCATTTTGTCTTATTTAGAATCATAACCCAAACAAAATATTGGGGCCTCACGAAGATAACTATGTAACATGATCTCCACAAATGAATCACATCAGTTATATTTGTCTTCATTTCCTTCTATGTAAGATCAAGTTTAAAACCTTAAAGTTAGGTGACTAATTGAGCCATAATATTTAAGAGATTAAAATGAGAGTGGAAAAAAAAAAAAAAGATTCTTTGAAGCCATAATGTGCAAAGGGTTTTGTTTGTTTGGTTCATATATGTAGGGTTGTTGTATTCCTTGATGAAATTCAGTATTATGTGCCACGTAGCTGAGGTAAGTTTGTGTATATCCGAATCTTGACCTTAAAATTGATTTTCTATTTATAGAAGACGTCAAAGGGTGTTGTCATCATCTATCAAATTGTAATCAATAATTTGAACAATGAATCGTGTAATCACGCTTGACAGATACTGGTAGCTTAATCAGAATAATGAAATGTTGAAAAATTAATAATAATAATAATAATAATAATAATAATTTTGATTTTTTATTCTAACCAATAAACATAAATTAATTTCATACTGAAAAACATATTATAAATTGAATGTGATAAAGATATTATAAACTGAATGTGAAAATGTACTTAATTAGTCGTAACGATGATATCTTTGTAGAGCCCTATATTGATATTGTGATTTTCTACTTGAAGAACATATGTATTTTTCTCTTGATTTTATTTCTCGATGGGGATAGAAAGAAAAGAACGGAACTGATATTTATGTTTTGTGTGTACTTTCAGAAAGGACCATGACCCTTTAAATAAACAGAATTAGATTAATTACTTAAGTTTTGATATTTTCAATTTGACCTCTCATCAAATTAGAAATTGTTTAATGGTCTTTACGTAATTTTATTTTCATAATACATGCCTTTGGTCAAAATTTTAATTTAATCATATCACTTTATTATTTGACTTAATAAATAATGGTTTTAACACATTTAAATTATATTATATATATATGACCCAAATTTTACCAAAATTCATGTCTCAACTTATATTGATAAATAAATATATATATATATATATATATATATATATATATATATATATATATATATACACGAAGGAAAAGTAATTTTAATTAATATAAATAAAATCGAATTTGATTCTATTTATCACCAAAAGAAAATGTAAATATAATCAATGATGATAATGTGGTGATATATATATTAATTAATCACTTTATATATTTTAGGGAGTTTGGCATTAGTTGGAGTTGTCTACTTTAGCAAAAATGGTGATTGACTGACACGCACTTTGATGGGTTAATTGGTAAGGTATTGGATAATGTCTTTGATGGTCCCTAAATGTTAAGGGTTATCATGGATTAAATTCACTTTATATATATATATATATATATATATATATATATATATAATCATCTCCAAATTTCTTTCAAAAACAGATAGTATATTCGTCCCTTTTCATTTCCATGATAACCAGTGTCGATCTAAGGGCTCAATTAGTGGAAGTAATTTATTTTTTAAATAATATAAATTAATAATAATTAGTATCATGTATTTATTTATATAAATTACATATCTTATACTCGATTACACATATCTACCATAAAATTAGAAATAAGCATATTCAAATATATAAAATTATGAAATAAAATAAAAGATTTTCAGATATTTAATAATAATTTTAATAAAGATAAGAATTATTTAATAAAAATAAAATTTTCATTCTTATTCATAGAATAAGTTAATTTATTTTCATTTATATAAAATATTATAAACATAAAAAAATACAAATTATTTGATAAATTTAATTTTAAAAATAATAATTTTTAATGCAAAATGGCTATATTGCAAAATTAGTAGACATCCATTGCTTTTCTAGAATTTCAACTAGATGCTTAGTTTTTTTTTAATTATTATTATTATTATTATTTATTTATTTTAAGAACAGTTTATTTAAATTGCTTCGCA